TGCCTTTTCCAAGGCCGGGTTGGTTAGCTCCGTCTCTGGTTCTGAGAGCTACCGCGGAATCCTTCCCATACATGCCGCTACTTACTGAAGCTAGCCACAATCATTCTCTGTTGCTTTCCACAAAATAACTTCAGTTAAAACCCATACGTAAGCGTGCTCCGCTGCAGCGGGCCAGGGTTCGGATCCCAGGATGCACACCCACACACCGCTTCTCCGGCCATGCTGTGGCCACGTCCCATATAAAGTAGAGGAAGATGGGCACAGATGTTAGCCCAGGGCCAGTCTTCCTCAGCAAAAAGAGGAGGACTGGCAACAGATGTTAGCTCAGGGCTAATCTGCCTCACAAAAACAAACAAACAAACAAACCCACACCAGAAGTGCTCCTTCTGGGAAATAAAAGTTGTCAGTTGATTATTTGCTGGTGATAGGGGAGGGGAGGTCTTCAGTCAGAAAACAACATAGGTGGTTAATTGGTTAATTTATAGATTAACAACATAGTTAACATAGCAAACTCTTGCTCCATAAGCAAACACTTTTAACCTGAAGGAGCTGCTGGTTGCTCCTTACAGGCACGGGGTTATTTCCTACTAGATGTATGGAGGTGAGGGGAGGACGAAGTTGTGTGTGTGGCCCAAGCTATGCAGAGTTCCTCCCACATTCTTCTGGTCGTTATTCAGTTACAAAACTTCGCTGGTCTGAGAAGACTGGAAGGACGAAGCTAGAGGCGGCTGTGGCCTGAAGCTGAGGCTGCTGTTGTCCCTCTGGCAGTCTGAGATGGGACTGCCAGTGAGGAAAAAACATCTGTGTATAAAGGAAGAGAGACGAGAGCCGCCCAGGAAGCTCTCTTTTGGGGAAGGATCCAACTGGGTCAAGATTCCTCCACAATTCCTAGCGAAAGGACGCCCCAGCATCTGAGATCACCGGATCACAGCAAGGTGCGGGGAGACTGACGAAGAGGGAATGGGGAGACGTGCCTTAATAGACAGCTGCGCTGTGCCCCTGCAGATGGGAAGGGACTCTGTTCACCCAACAGGCCATTTATACACAGCGCCGGGCACACAGCCACACTTAGCAGAGCTCAGTAAACGTTTTCTGAACTGGAAGATGCAATGGCGTGGAGAGGCAGAGGGGGAGGATGGAGCAAGAGCCGCGGCCAACAGCCTCGGAGGCCGCTGAAAAAAATCTGGGCTTGGGACCCAGAAAGAGAGGCCTCGCGTGAATCCTCGAAAACCTCGCGCATTTCTGGGCAGGAAGTCAAAGGGGGAGGGTGGGGCGCTGGGGCGCTAGTCGGTTACTAAACTCGAAAAGAGGGTTGGCATTTGGCGGATTTAGAGGACCGAGGACGAGGACCAGGTCCGAGGTCACCGGGAAGCGGATCTGAAACGAAGGTTCTAGGCTCCGGTAGGGAAGGAGAACTGTAGTCCCGGGCTCGGCGCCAATGCCGTTGCCCGGGTAACGGGAAGGAGGTGGAGCAGAGCCGAGCTGAGCTTTGACTGACAGGGCCACAGCAGGGGCGGAACTCTGCTTCTAGCTGGCTATGTCCCCCAGAGGGGTGTGGCTTACTTATGACTGGCAGGCCCCCGGGACCGGGCTGGTTTGAGACTGACGAGTTTGGGAGGAAATGGGGCTCGGCTCGACTCGTAGGGCACCGGACCCAGCGGGAACTAGGCTAGTCTGACTGGCATGAGGCCACAGGGCCGGAGATGAAGCTGGCCTAAACCACCTGCCTTAAGACGCCGGCCTCATTAGTCCCAGTGACCCTAGAAAAGAGCAGGATATGCCCAGTTGGCCCCCTCCTCATGGCTGGGCTAAGCTAGGGCTCTAGACCCAGGCCATTTTTCTCCTTAGAACGTGGGCCAGGAGAGAGGGAGGGTTGTGGTCTTTCTTATAATGGGCGGAGTGGGAGCTCTGGAGCAGATGAGGCCAGGCAAGGGGAAGAAGGCTGTGGAGGAAGGCCAAGGATGCTGATGCAGGCTCCCAGAAAAGGTTCCTGGCCGCTGAGCACTAGGAGGAAGAGAGGAGGCCCAAGAATGGGGCAGATTACTTTCCAGTGAGAAAAGTGCTATCTCTGCCCAAACGCTGACTTCCGAGGAAAATTCCAAGTATGTGGAGGCAATTTGGAAAACGTACCTGGCTAGAGAGCCTGTGAAGTTAGTCTAAACCTAACTTTTTTGCTTTGAGGAGCTGGTGTGGAATTAGGAAGGAAAGATGGCAGGAAAGCATTACTTCCAAATTGGCCCGTTGGCGCCCTGGCCAATCTTCTCTCTGATGTGGCTGAGTGTTATCTGCAGAGCACAGATAATTCTGTTATAAAATGTTCTTAATGATTTTGTTTTACAGAGATCCCTGCACCTCACTCCCCAAGTGGGTTTATTTTACATAGATTTCCCAGCAAAAGCACAAGCCCTGTTTTCAAGGGGCTTACCAAAGGCCAAAGCTATAACTGCAGAGAGAGGCTTCAAGAGTTGACCCAGGGCTCCAGTGGGCTTGATGGGAAGCACTGGTCCAGGTTGGCAGAACAGGGTGGACTTGAAACTGGTTATCTAAATGTCCCATATTTAATCAAGAATAGGAATCTTCGCTTATACTCCAGCTATAAAATCCTCATGGTTGGCAATTCCTCAGTGGCTTTAATAAAAGGTTTGTGTACACTTGTGGGCCTGTCAGTTCTGCTGGCCTGTAAACAAACTGGGCCCAAGGAGGAGATGCCTTGGAATGTCAAAGGGACTAGGAGAATGACCTCAGGTTTGGCTGGTGGCTGGAAGGGGAGGAAGAAGCATAGCACAGTGGCTTCAGAGTCACACAACTCAGCTTGAATCCTGGCTCCCTCACCTCCTAGTTGTGTAGCTATGGGCAACTTTCTTAATGTCTTTAAGCCTGTGTCTTTGCTAAGAATGGATATAACATGTCTGGCCTCACAGGGGTGGTTGTGAAGACCAAAAGATATAATGGACTTAAAGCACTTGCCTTCAGTAAGTCTGGCACCACACAGTAGGACTCAGTGAGCAGTAGCCAATGTCGCCCCCCTGCCCATACAGGTAAACTTCTACTTCCTAGGAGGAGTGCGTGAGTCCAGGCCAACGCAGCAGGTTCACTTTCAGCCCTAAGGATTTCTCCCCACCACCTAGTGTGAGAGCTTTGAGCTGAAAAAGGGAGATGAGGGGTACTTCCTCCAGGGAGTAGGGACTGGATTTTATTATAGGTTTATTCATGTTTATTCTTTTGAATCTCCCAAAGCCAAGACTTAGGGCAGGAGAGCCAACTATAAGCTCTTTAATAGTGGCTCCCTCCAGCTGCACACAGGCAGGAACTTTTGGCCTCATTTTTCCCAGAAAAAAAAAAAGAGGTTACATAAGCAGGGAGGGAGTGGAGGGCCCTGGGGCGGGGGAAAGGGGTGTTAGCAAAGGGTCCCTGCCAGGCTTGTTCCCATGTGGTATCAGCTGGGGCGTGGAGGGCATGCTGGTGCCCTAACAACTTCTCTCTGATGGAGCGGGGCAGTCCTTAGCCTTCCTCTCTCCAGAGGCCTCCTTGGGGACCAGAGGCCACCACCCATGTCAAATGCCTGAAGGAAACCAAGAAGCAGAGCCTGAGGAGTGTGATCAGCCCCCCTAGCAAAGAAGGAAATGAGGCCAGGACTCTATTTGCTGAGGAATAGAAGGTGGAGACATCTACATCCCCCTCTACTTTAATACTCAGGGCGCAGATGGAGGACTGATTTTCTAGTCTCAGAGCGCCCTCTGCTGGAGGCTGAGGCTCCCTACAGAAAGGGAGGGAAGAGACTAAGACCTGGACTCCGAGGGGAGAGAAGAGAAAGCTGTAGGCAGGAGGCTCTTCCTGGGTACTCAGGACATGAAATCAAGTGAAGTAGACAGGTTTTCAGTTTATTGAGTAACAATGGCATCATAGCTTTTATCACTCGTGGCGGTTGGGTGGGGGAACAGGAAAGTGTTCTTAGAGGATCCCACTGAGGCCTTCATCCGCCCCACCCACCCCTTCAACCAGAGGTCATGGGAGTTGGAGTCAAGGTCCAACTCCGCACTCTGTGAGTTTACCACCACATATTCCATCCCCAAGCCCACCTCCTCTTTGGACCAGGGTCCTTTGATGCCTGGGTCCTTCCTCCTCTTGGGAGTGGGGTGGGTGTGGGAGCAGGGCCAAGCCTCAAGAAAGAGAAGGAGCTAAGGTGGGAGTTCAGCTGAATGTCTAACAAGGGGCAATGGAACACAAAATTCTCAGTCTTCAGATTGTACACTCTGGGCCTAGTTGCCCTTGAGGGTGTCCTAGTTACACCCACTCAGATACCTGTGGAGTTTAAGCACCGTTCCCACAACTGTGTCCCTCTGTAAGAGGGTGCCATGGGAGCTCTTAAAGGGGAATGCTTGCTTTGTCTTCGTGGATTTTTGGTTGATGGAGGGGGTTGGGATTGTAGGTTTAGATTTGAGGTTATGATGTCAGAGTGGACCAAGAACTCCTAGGATTGTTCCTGAAGATGCCCACGTTGCAATGTGGGGAAGATGGGAAGACAGCAAGAGCAGTACAGGATACCAACACTCTGTTGTTCTGGTAGAGAAGAAGAGAAGAAATGATCTAGTCCAGGATGTGGGGTATGGCATAAGCCTCCTGCCTCCCTTATCCTGACATGTCTTCCTCTGCCAGCCCCGTTGCTGAGTCAGCTTTGGGAGCCAGGAAGCAGAAATCTGAAGTTTGGCCTGCTAGTGTCCCTCAGTCTCTGTCCTGAGATTCTGGGGCTCCTCTGTGTCCAGAAGGGGTTAGATGCTGTCAGAAATGACTTGGCTGGTGGAACTGTTTAGGCAAGGAAGTCCTGTAGCCTGGCTGGCTGGCAAGTGGCAGGAGGCCGAGAAGGGAAGCCAGATATCAGGACGTCCCAGGACAGCATGTCTGCTCCTAGCTTCCAAGACAGCACGTACACATGTTCACACACACACACACACACACACACACACACATCACATATATATGTAAGTAGACACACAAGCTCAGGAGAAAGGAGAGAGGAGAGAAAAAGGTTTACGGGGGCACCTCTCGCAGCCTAATGGAATGGATGCTGGTCTCAATGGCCACTCCCCCACTAAGCCCTCTGCCCAGAATCAGGCAGACAGGCAAGTGGTAGGGATGGCAAGGCTCCACTGAAGCAGCAGCCCAAGGGGGTGAGGGAGAGGCCAGGGGCTGCCCCTCCCTCAAAGCCCCTTGTTGTAGTAAACCACTTCGATGCTGGGGTTTTGCTCACGGATCTGAGCTCTCAGCTCCGGCTCCAGCCTGCTCACATGTATGGAGCTGCAACAGAACACACAGGCAGGCTGAGTGTCCCCTGAACCCAACCCCCTCAGGCTAAGGGATCGCCATCCCTCCTCCTTCCAGGCTGAAGAATCTTCTCTTTCAACTGCCAGAAGTCCAGCTCACTGTCATTCCCCAACCCCCAGAATAAGTCAAGTGCCTGCCAGGCCTCCTCCTGGAACACACTGAAGGAACTTAAGGTCAGCTGGTTCCAGAGAGGTGGAGACCAGCCAGAGCCCCAGCCCAGCCCAGGGCAGCACTTACCTTCTCTGGGGGAACAGGGCACAGCACAGGGGGGTGGCAAATACCAGGCTGGGGAGAGAAGAGTGTTGGAAGGGTTCGTGAAGCTTGATGTACAGGGTTCCCTCCCTGTACCCCACCCCCTCTCTGGAGACAGCCCTTAGGCGTGGAGATTGATTAAAGCCAACTGACATTAGGTTCTGGCTGAGGAAAGAGCTTCCAGAACAGTGACCCGGAGCTCCACCGCCAGCAAGTGACAGAATCAGGAATTAAATGTGCATGAAACTTCTGGATGGTACCAAAAGATTTTTCCATGGTTTCCTCTTGTAGATGAAGTCTGGAACCCCTTCAACTAGACTCTTGACCTTCAAGGACAGGGATCACCCTAACACACCCAGTATTCTCTGCAGGTATCCAAGACCCCTACCAGCCGAATGTATGAATGAATGTGTATACAAACATCTTAAAAGCAGTAATAACCACCCACGTCCACCATGGAAAGGGCACTCCCACACACCCTCCTAACTCCCTGCACACTTACCAGAAGCCCACCAGTCCCACTTGCAGGGGCGCCCCCAGCCAGGGGCGGCGCTGTGGGGAGACAGAGACAATGGAATGGCATGTGTCCCCTGCCCCCTAACCCCCACCCCATTGTACCCACCATGGCTCTATACCACAGCCCTGCCTTTGAGCCTCTGATACACGGCCCTTTTCTTTCTCCCAAGCCCAGGACAGGGTTGGGACCTCCAGATCACCATCCTCCACTCCAGCCAGGCCTGTTTGCTGACACCCTCCCTAGTGTCCCCTCACCCATTCTCGCCTCTCAGAATTGGTTCCCATAGCACTCCCTGCCCCTTTCTCTTCCCTCACTTCCTCCAGGAGCGGCTTTCTTCAGGAAGCCTCGTCTAACCCTCCACTCACTTCCTCCTGCCCCACTGGCACGAATCTGTCCCTTTCCAAACACATGTCCTGCTCTGTACACCCTTCTTGATTCGCTTCAGTCACAGGGACCACCATTCTGTTTCTCCAGTGTGCGCAGCTGGTGCTCAATAAATGTTTGTGAATAAATGATTGAATGAGTGAGCCAGGGCTTGTGTTCCTCTGCCTTGCTTCCCTGTCCTGTTTGTGCATGTGTGAGCCTGTGTGTCTGTGTCTGTGTGTCTGTCTCGCTGTTGTTAGTGGGTGACAGCATGAATGTCATATCAGGTGTGACTGTGATAGTCCATCCCTGTGTGTGTCAGAGGCGTCTGGAGTGACACCAGTTTCCTTCAGGACAGAAATCATTTTTCTCCTTCCCTTATCCTCTTCTCCTGCTCCCTCAGTGTTCCTTCACCCCAGCCTAATTCATTCTTGCTGAATGAATGAAGGTGGAGGGGGTAGCGCCAGGGTGGGGCAAACAGGTGGCAAGTCTTAGACTCAGGTCAGGCTGGAGAGAGGGCTAGGCACTGGTCACTTCTGCTCCCAGCCACTACCACTTCCAGGATGGGAGAGGTGAGTGACCTACCTTCAGGAAGTCTTTCTTCTCCAGAGCATCCATGATCACGGGGGGAATGGCTGAGGGGAGAGCAGGGCAGGGAGGGAAGCAGTGGAGTGAAAGTTGGGACCCAAAGGAAGGGAGAATCCCCCCACGGTCTTATGGCCCCCCTTAGAGAACCGCACCTCCCTTCTCTCAGAGCCTCCCGTGCCCCACCCCGCCACCCCCGCCTCACCCATGGCTGGAATCGCCATGCAGATTCTTGATACCACCACCTGGAAGATTCCCCGCTTAGCTGCGGCCACCGAGTGGCCAAGCCTCTGACCCGCCTCATCAGTGACCGGGATGCCCACCTGCAGCTCCCTGGGAAGCGAAGGGAGTAGGGGTCAGATCACAGGCCCCAAACCCCACCTGCAATGCCCTCATGGGCAGCTATTGGGGTTCTCTCAGACAGCCTAGATCCAAAGGGTGGTTCTCCCCACTCCAGGATCCTAGCATCAGACTGAGACTGGGCCAGCAGCTCATGTCCAGGGAGGGAGAGGAGTGTCCCCACTCTGGGCTGGTCTACATGGCTGGATGGTGTGTCCAGATGCACCCTGGGCACACACACGCCAGGAGTCGGGGCCACTCACCTCTGCCTCATCAGAGGGATGTTGATGCAGTTGGCAGCTGCCACAGCTGCAAAGGGCACAAATCTGCTGACCAGCGGGGGCAGGTGCTGGGGGAGGAAAGAGGTCATTTAACGGCCCTAAGGGCTATGGGGTGGTGGGGAACTCTGAGGAGACATGTGGGGAGGCTATAGGTCAGGTGGTGGGGTGATGGGGAAGAAGGAGGTGGATAAAGGGTGAATGGGGTTGCAGTGGAAGGGGGGGGCATTTACCTTTGTGAGGGATTTGAGTCCCAGGGCCGTGGCCACAGCCCCAGTGGTGGCACTCACATAAGCTGTTCCCAGCTGCCTGTGGGTGGAAGAGGCAGGACACAAGGGGAGAGGTGAACAGTTCAGTATGTGGTTCTTTCTTTCAGGGACATGCCAAATCCTCAACACATGAGGCGTGGGAGGGTGGCCTTATTGCAGAGAAATGCCTCCCAGGCTCCAGTGTAGACTTGTCTGGAAGCCCCAATCCCTCCCCTTGAGGAAGAGTGAGTCCCCAAAGGACACACAAGAGGAACCCATGCCCTCAGTTAGGCCAGGAAAGTGGGGAAGGGGGGCAGGCTGAGAGGAGGGCGCTGAGCCACTGGCTGCACGGGCCCTCTGAGAACAGGCGCAAAGGGGAGAGAGCAGTGCTGGGCAAGGAGGGGAGAAGCGTCCCTGGGGACGGGCTCTCACCTCACAGTGATGGGAGCGTCGCCACTGCGGTTGGAGTAGTTAACAACAGCATTGAAGGACTGATTCACCCACTGCCAGAACACCACAGTTGGGGTCTTCCTGAGGGAACAAAGACACTTACTTCTGCCTCCTCTACAATGTCCCTCATCCTTGGACCCAGATAATGAAACCCCAAAGGTTATTCCCAAACACTCAGGAGGGACCCAGTCAATGACCCAAGAACCTGCTCTGGTGACCCCTGCATGACCCTCCTCACTTACACAAACACAACCACTGTCTCCGGGTTGGGAGGACCCCCCAGGGCTGAGTTCTGAGGAATGGAAGGGATTCTGACACAAGATCTCACCCACTCACTATTTTTTGCCCAAACTGGCCCAGAAAGGAAGCACCTAGTCATCAAGCCACACTCTGGCTAAGACAGAGCGCTCAGGGAGGGGACACCGGGACAGGACCTGCCTGTAGAAGGTGAGCATGCAGCCAGTGATGGTCATGTTCATGGGCACCTGAGCTGACATGCGGCCAATCAGGACCACCTTCTCCCCCGTGTCCGGATGGAAGGCAGAGTCATACACATACTTGGCCCTCCACAGCTGGTCCTCGGTGAGCCCTGGAGTCACCACGCCAGCCCTGCAGAGGTTGGCAGGGAGCAGACAGGCAATTCTAGAGGGCAGATCTGCCCTCCCAAGCCCTGCCCACCCAGCTCAGGGGAAGTCTGGGCAGAGGACCAGGCACTCTGGCCCCCAATCTTAGAATAAAGGAGCTCCTTGTCTCTGGGGGAGAGTCAAAGCTTCCCAGAAAGTGTGTGGGGGGGGTCCTATTTCTATTTCCCTTCTAGCCACACAAAGAGGGGTGCCCTTCTGTTTCTGCCTAAGTGCTGCGTCATGGGTACTGGTGGTTTCCAATGGGTCAAAAATGGCTGAGGGCATTGCAAGGGTTTTTCCTCCTGCAGACAAAGGGGATGGCCTCCTACCTTGTTGGGACTCAATTTTGAGCCCCTCTGTCCTTGCAGAGGGTGGCCCAGCAATGGGATAGGTCTCTATAGAGGGTCTGTGAGGCACAGAGCAGCGCCCCCCCCATAACTATCAATGCCACATCCTCAACCCAAACACCCTAAAATCCTTTGGGTTAAAACTCTGTGCCACAGCTATCTGTGATTCCAGCAGACAGGGCCAGGGAGTGAGGGGACTGATGAGTAGGACAGGCTCACTCTCAAGCTTGGGGAGGCAGGTACAAAAGGTACTGTATTAATGGCAGGGAATGAGACCGTGGGGTACAGGGTCAGACGGGGTAGGGAGTCACCTGTAGTTCTGCACAATGTTCCGGGAAGCTTCCAGCTGTGCCCCAGACAGCAGCAGATTTCGGGGGTCGGTAACAGTGAAGAAGTGCCGGGCTCTGCCCAGGAATGTGCTTTGGTCCCAGCGAGGTTCTTGGATGTTGATATCTAAGGGCAATTCACCCATTTTCTGCAGAGCAGGGACCAGAGTGAGAGGACTCCAAGGAGGGGGTCCAAGGGCTCCACTTGGGGGAGACTTTGGTGGCCCTGCCCTGGTCCCTGGGCCTATTGCCAATCCCTTCTAGAGCTCAAAGTGACTCCAGATAGGTAAAGCAAGGGTTGGGGGAGGAGCTGTTTTCTAGGCATTGTCTTGGCCCAGGCATCTGCAGCCACTGGGGGAGGGGGCGAGGAGAACAGAACCACAAAAATAGATCATCTTATGCTGTGGCCTGGTGCAGATTTTCATGAGTGAGGATTTATATGTGTGTCGTCGATGCATGAGCAGCAGCTAATCCTATGCAGCTACTCTTGTGCTCTGTATTCACAAAAATGCATTCTATATGCATCACACATCTCTGTTCCTGTCAGCTTTAGGCCCCAGTTGCCTTGAGACCTAGATACAAACCCCTAAGGCTGTCTGGGAAGATAGCATACGCCATCCCACACCCCAGCCCCTGATTGGAGGAGAGCAAGATCTCATTGGCCACTCTAGGGCTTATCTATTCCAGATCTCAAACAGGGGACTCTGATGCCAGCCGTGTGAGAGTGTGTGTGTGTGTGTGTTCATGGGCATGCACAAGACCCACCTTCCTCAACCCCCACTAAAGGCTCAAGGCTCTCCTTGTTCCCCAGCTGGGCAGGGCTGGCACAGACACTCATCTACCTCTCCCCGAGCTACCTGCTTCCAGAAAGGAGCAGGATTCAGTAAGTGCCCCCTCCAGCCAGCACAGAGAGCCTGGAGCAGCCATCTGGCTGCACTGGGCAAAATCCTACAGAATGACTAATCCTCTCCAACCACACTTCCTCCCTCACAGGCAGACACACCCTCCCTTCTCTCACACACTCACAATCACATACCCACACACAAAGACACCATCACACAGCCCTACATAGACATACAAACAGGGTGGACACGCCCTGCATACAGTGGCCCACAAAGACTGTTACTTGCACGCACAAACACACACACACAGCCCATATCCATCAGTTGCAGACGCTTGAATGTGTGACCACTCAGAGCCCCACCCTGACATTCCTCCCCGCTACCAACTTCCTCTTATGTCCCTTGAACCTCCTTAGAGCCAAAGATGCTGAATGGGACAGGACAGAGAGCACCCTTCAAGGCAGGCCTCCCTCTCCGACTCCCAGCCCTCAACTCCCTACTCCCCTGACCCCCGAACCCGCCCAGGGCAGCAGGACTCACGCGCTCCTGGGCTCCTGGGGTCCTGGCCTCTGCAGCTCTCAGATCTGCCTTCTTCTTCGCGCATCACCCCCGCCCTCCAACCCATCACGCGTAACGTCACGCGTGACGCTAACCAGCAGGAGGGGCGGGGGCTCCCCTGGCACGTCCGCCCGGTGTGCCCCGGATTGGCAGAGTCCGGGGGCGGCGGGTGTCGTTTGGGGCGACGCCCCCAGCCCCGGCTACTGGGACTCAGCCTCACGCTGCCTCCCAGAGCCAATAGGGGCTGAGGGATCAGTTCTGGCCGGATTCCCAGCGGGAGAGAGGAGGGGAGGAGCCGCGGGTGCTGCCCGCTTTGCTTGCAGTCCCCTGGCTGGCCTCGGGAGGCACCCGGCCTCTGCAGCAAGGGGTCTAGGTACCCAGGGCGAAGGCGGGCGGCGTGGAGAGGCTATCCTCTGGTGGTGCGCTCGGAGGGACTCGAGTTACTTCCCGGCTTGTTTACTTGACGGCTACCTTGGCAGTGGCCTCCGCCTACTTGGCCCCCTGGGCGCCTATCCCGGTTCCCACAAGCTCCTTTCGCAGCACCTCGGCGTTCGCACCCCTTCACAGTCCCGTTTCGCTCTTGCTTGTGCCCCTTCTATGTCCCCAGCCCTTTCCTCCTCCCCAGGCCCCTTCTTACTCGCCTCTGAAACCCCTAGCTCCTCTGAGTCCCCAGTTTCCTTGTGCTTCCAATCCCTACCTCTGCACCACAGACCCTAGCCCCAGTCCTTGCCCTGCGATGTGAAGGGACAGAAGGCTCCAGCAAGTGAATCAGAAAGAATCTTCCGCCCCCTAGTGTTCTGGGACCAACTGCCCCGCCCTGCGTCCTTTCCAGGACTGGCTGTCCACACACTTTCTGACATAGAAGGGGGATGCATGTGAAGAAGGCAAAGCTCAGCCACACAAACACTCACAACTCACCCAGTCACCGTACAGAGCACAGCTGCTGCACACCCAGACCCCAGTCCACGCTCCTGCCCACCGCAGGCTCAGGCCCGCTCTGCCCAGGTGACACTCCCTCACTGAGGCCTCAGGGGTGACCGCGGAGGTGTGGCAATTCCATGAGCCCTGGGAGCTGCCTTGGCCTGGAGAAGACGGGGTTCTGGGCTTTCCCTGCGCTGAGTTCGCGGGGCAGGGTGGGGCATCAGAACTCGAACTGTAGCGGATATAACTCAGCCGCCGCAGCCTAGGTGACAAACAGCTGTCCTGGGCGCCCAAGGGAGGTGGCAGGAGAGAGTGACTGGCGGCCCTCCCAGCCAATGGGAGCCCGGGGCTGCGCAGGCCAGCCTTGTTCCTGCAGCCTCGGCGGAGCGTGGGCGGGGTTCCCCGGCTTCTGCAGTCGCTCGCGCCCGCGGGCGGGCGAGGCCGGCGGCTGCCGCACACGCGAGCAGGTGAGGGGGACCGAGCTTGAGAGGTGGGGGCCGGGAGGACGGAGCCGGGGGTAGGATGCTGCATTCTGGGTCCCAGAGCTGCTCTGGGGTATTTGGCCCCGGGTTTTACGCTGGATGTCGTGGGGCTTTCGTCAGCAGGTCCTCACCCGCAAGCCTGGGAGAGATTCACGCAACCTTTTTAGATAGGAGAGGAAGAGGGATGAAGGGGACAGCAGCCTGGGGCCTGGGGACCTCTGGGGGCCAGGGAATCTCTGGGGCCCTGGGAATCTCTGGGGGCCTTGGCTACAGCTGTCCCAGGTCCTGAAGCCCTGCCCTTGAGTCCCACGCCCCAGGAGCTGGCCCCCTACCCACATACACAGGAGAGGTGGTGCAGTGAACTCTCCTGGCCCCACTTTCTCTCACACCGCTTGAAGCCCTAGGGCCCTCAGTTATCCCATCTCCACTCTCTCAACCTCTACTGAGGCCCAGGGACGGGAGTAGATGACTCAGCTGAGAGCAGGAACGAGAGGTGAATGAGAGGTTCCCACCTACTTTGTTGTATAAATATCTCCAAAAGTCCACGATGGTGCCTGGATTGGGGGTTTCTCTGGCCAGGGATGGGAGAGGTGAGGGGCCTAAGGCATGGGAGGTCAGGATGCTCAAACTAGGGGGAAGGGTGCAAATTCTGGGGGGCAGCCTTCACACCCCTCCCCCAATCCTTGCTCTCCCTGCGCAGGCCTGGAGCGCACACTCCCGAGAGGCAGCGGAGGTGGAGGGCTTCGGGTCACTGAGACCCCAGTGCCGCACAGAAGGCTCATGGAGCTCGGAGCACGCCGGGCCTTCCTCTTGAGAGCTAGCAGGTTCCTTCTGGACCTGTAGGGCGCCATCCCAGTCTAGCCACCATGGCGCGCGGTTTTGCAGTGGGCTTCGACCCCCTGGGCCTCGGAGACCTAAGCTCTGGCTCTCTGAGCTCCCTCTCCTCCCGAGGCCACCTGGGCAGCGACTCGGGCTCCGCAACGCGATACCTGCTGAGGAAGAAGCGGCGGCTGCTTAATGGGCCCCCCCGTGGAATCCGAGCCTCATCGCCCATGGGCAGAGTCATCCTCATCAACTCCCCCATCGAAGGTGGGAGTGGGGCCCTGCCATGGTCCTGGGAGCTGAGGGGGTGGGTAGGGGACAGCGGGTGCCAAGTAGGAGGAGGCAGAGCCAATATGAGTGGGGGAACTCAAGAGATGGGAGTCATAGGGATGGGGGGCACCTGGAGACCCATACTCTCTTCCTCATCTATCCTTTTCTCACTTTCAGGCTAATCCTTTAGGGTTCCAGGATCATAGAGAGGTCAGAGGTGGGAGATAGGGGCATGGAGGGAGGTATGTGTGGTATGCTAGCCCCCAAGTGAGCAAGGCAGGATATTGAATTGGCCCCTCCCTCCCATGGACTCTGCCTTTCTCCAAACCCATTTGTGGATGCCTTTGGGGGTGGGGCAGGATGGAGAAGGACATCCTCCATCAAGCAGCCCACTGTGTGACCAGCTCTGTGCTGGGCTGTGAGGTGTCAGTGCGCAGTTGGGCAGAGAGAATTAAAGGCTTCAGGTGCAGAAGGAAGGAAATAGAGGTAGAGCAGCAAATGAGGGAGGAGAAGAGGAGGGTTGAGGGTCAGGGAGGGAGCCCCATGGCTGGGCCCTGAAGGAGGGGGACACCTAATCTTATGCAGTTGCTTAATGCTGTTTCATTGCACAGCTATTTTATGCCAGCGCTAGTTAGGTCCTACAGGGGACCTAGAGAGAAATAAGGCTCAATCTTCACCTTCCAGAAGTTTACAGTGTAGCAGGGCTTAGAGACAGAGCAATAACAGCTGGTGGTGGGGTGGAGGTGTCGCGGACAAAGGTTGGAGGTGGAAAGCACGGAGCACGGTGGGGGGGGGCAGGCGGGGCACTTAGGAGACAGCTTGGCTGTAGTGACAGATGTGAGGCGACAAAGAGCCGGTGAGCAAGGCAGGACCTTGAATGCCACTGGGGGAGCGGGGGCCCCCTGGGCCTCGGCTTTCTGTGAGCAGGACCAGATAAATATCTCCAGCTCCCCTCCTCTCTCTCAGCCAGCAGAGCTTCCCTGGCTGGATCCTAGACTGGAATTTTCAGACCCTGCTCCTCCCCTCTGACCCAGCTGGGCATCTCTGTTCCCCTACCCGGGCCACTGGGGCAGGGGTGGAGCGTGTTGCTCAGGGAGCAGACTTTCCTGCACCTGGTGGCCCAGCGTGCTCACCCTCATCATCCACCATGCTTGGCCTCACCCTCAGGTGAGCAGCAGGGTGCTGCTGAGGGTCACCACTGTCATTCTGGTCATAGAGCAGAAGTCCCCAGAGGAGCTAGGAGACATGGAGGGGAGGGGGAAGACCCTGCAGCCCTGCCCCTATGAGTCCCATTGTATTCAAAGAACTATGCTCTACCTCACCTCACACACCCACAGGCACTGTGCTGGCTATGGTGCAAGGGCTATGTCCACTGTCCCTCTAAAGATCCTCTTCCAGAAGTTCCATGATTGCTCTGTCCCTCTGCCTCACTCTAGTGCCCTGGTGCAGCCAGGGGAGCAGCATCTTCTAGCAATGGAAGTACTGGGGCATTGTTCTGACCAGCTGGCCCCTAGCCTGTCTGGGCTGGGAGCCTCTGAGCTCAGAATCCTCCCCTCTGCCTGATTACAAACATCTCCCAACTCACTGCAGCCTGCAACCCCTCCCCCATGTTATTATTGAGACCATTCCAGAGGCTGAAAGTAACTGAAAAGGAGAAACAGTGGGAAGGGGAAGACTGCCACCCACATCACCCCCATGAGGTCCCACCAGCTCCTCAAACTCAACTGGTCCCAGAGAAAATGCATTATCTTTAATCCGAACCAGCCCTTTCTCCTCACTCTCCTAGCTCCTTGTTTATTCATTCATTCATCCATTCGTTCTTTTATTTATTCAAAAAATACTTAGCAAATATTAAGCACTGTGCAATATACTGGGGATATGTTGGTGGAAAGGAATTCCAAAGTCCCTACCCTGACTGAGCTTCTAGTCTAGTGAAAGGAGACAGATACTAAATAATAATATGAATAAGCAAATAATGAGCAAGGATGGTAAGAATCTTGAAGGTACTAATTTGGATGATATGATAGAGTAGTGGTTCTCAGACTTTAGAATACATCAGAATTGCCTGGGGGGCTTGTTAAAGACAGATTGCTGGGTCCTCCACCCAGAACTTCTGACTCAGTGGGTCTTTGGTAAAGCCTGAGAATTCACATTTTAGTATGTTCCCAGGTGCTGCTGATGCTGTTGGTCTGGGGACCACACTTTGAGAACCACTCTAACAGAGATGATGTGGGAGGAGGGGGAAGGGACTTTCTTAGGTAGCGTCGTCTAGGAAGGCTTCTCTGAGAAAGTGGTATCTGAGTCAGGAGGGACTGAGGCCTAGGAGCCAGCTTTCTGAATGTCTGGGCAAGATATTGCAGGCAGAGAGAAAGGACATGGCCTGCGGGAGGAACAGGAAGGAGGTCAGTGTGGCCAAATCTCAGTGAGGCCAGGGAGATGAGGGTAGAGAGGGGCACAGAGGAAAGCCCATGGAGGGCCTTGTTAGGCATGGGGGGAGTGTGGAGTTCCTTCTAGAAGCAGGGGCAGGCATTAAAGTTTTTCGTCAGAGGAAAGGCATGGTATGTTATACAGGCTGACTCTGGCCATTGTGTAAAGGATGGATTAAAGGGGGCAAGAACAGAAGTGGAGAGATAGTCAGGAGGCAACAGAGTGCCTGGAGGGAGAGCTTGGTGGCCCAG